CTGCCCGCGGGGGCCGGGGAGGAGGAGCGGGAGCCGCGCCCGCCGGAGCCGAGGCCGCCCCAGAAGGCGAGCAAACCCAGGAAAACTCCCAAGAGAGGGAAGCTGGCTCCTGAGACGCCCCCACCGGGTAAGTAAGGAACTTCCCGCGCTGGGCGGCCCGAGGGGGCGCCCACGGCTGTGCGCCTGTCGCGCGGTGGCCCGCCGGGTCGGAGGGGACAGCTGCCCTCCCTGTGCGTGTGTCCGGGATGGAGGAGCGCCGCAAAGCGCCCGTCGCTGCCTCCGCCGCCCCTCCAGGTCTGAACCGCGCATCCCGCTGGCCCCGCCGAGCTCCCCAGAACTTAAACCTGACTGCTGTTCCCCGCAGGTAGACCCACTGTGCAGCAGGGAAGCTCACTGCGGAGCTGGCTCCCTCGTGCCCCACGTTTCAGATTTACTGGACGAAGGATCTTTCTGCCCGACACTTACTCCTACCCCACTTACTTTTTCAATCTTTCTGCAGGGCGTTTTCTTGAGAGCAAATTTCCGTTTTGGCGGCGTGCAGGGCTGGCCCGTTTAGGCACAGCGGCCTCTGGGGAAAGCCCAGCGGGGGCCTTTACTCAGCCAGCGTCCCTCAACACCCTCCCTCTGCCCACTGGGCCAGGATGGCAGACCCTCTGCCGGGGAGCCCTGGGCTGGCAGCTGGACTCCTGCGCCCGCGGAGGGAGAGCTGTGGAGGCCGGGAAGGCCCCGTGGCGCCTGGCAGCCTGCTGTGCTCAGTCTCCCAGGAATCTCTCACACCCTTCCCGAATCCCTCCTGTTTCTGCCAGCCCTGTCTTGGGAAATGACTTCCATTTGGTTTCTTAGACTTCTTGTGAAGGGAAACTTTCTCTTAATTGTTCCAAACGTTCTTTGCTCAAGTTGCAGAGGGCTGGGGTCCTAGTATTTCAAGATTGGGGAGTAGCAGGATTGTAGCCAAATTCTCTGGCCTTGTAATGGCCCTCCTTGAAAGGTGATACATGCTCCGGAGACCATTACACAGCTCCTTGCATGGAAGGAATCGCCTTTGTTTGGTTAAACTGTTCATGGAGGTGAGCAGGGAGGCAGTGGGAAGCAGGTGGAGATGGGGACCCAGGATTCTTGAATGAATGGGCCCATCTCAGTAGCCCGTTTGCACGTACAAGTCGGGGTGGGAGGGCTTCTCCCATGCTTCAGTCTGTGAGCAGCTCTATGAATAGGCAGGCAGTCCTGTAATTGTGTAACCCTGAACAGAATGATCCAGAATTTCCAATGTCTTCTGGGCAACTGTGGGAATTAAGATTTGTAAAAGTCATATTGTTTTAATAACAGGTATAGGAATGGGAAGAGAAACTCCTATCTGTAGAAGGTCTGCTGTGACTCTATTAGGAGCTTTAGGTACACCATCTCATTTAATTCTTTCCATGGCTCTGAGGGGTGGGTATTGTTATTTTACAAGGAGGAAGCTGAGGCTTTGACCGTTTAAGCACCTGCTTAAGTCAGTGTTGGTTACTTGCTTGGGAGATTTGAAAGCCCTTCTCCTGTGCTTTTTAACTCAAGGCCTTTTCTGTTGGGTAGTTTGAATCAAATTTGCATGTGTTTTTGTTTTTTAGGGTCTGCTGTGTGTTTAGGGCAGTCCTGGGCATGGTGGATGGGGGACCCATTTGTGAAGTTCTGGGATTTACTGCAGGGATCACGGGGGAACATGGAAGAAGCCTCAGATTGAGAGTCTGAAGACCGCACTTAACTCCCAGGTCTGGGGCTCAGCCCTCAGCTGCCCGGACCTCAGCATTTTCATCTGCAAAGAAGACGAGCTGCGCCTGCTACCTCACTTTACTTTGTCAATTGTTTTAAAAGTTTTTCAGCTTCTGGTGTGTAAGCTGATGGTTGTGCTCATCCTTCTCTGACCTGTTCGTTCATTCTGCTATGTCACCAGGACCCTGCTGAGCACCAGGTTCTGGGTGAAGTTCCAGGGCAGAGAGGGCAAGACAGCCCCACCTCTGCCCATGTGGCATGCACAGAAGTTGGGGGGCTCTGAAAAAGTAATCGCAGGTGTGCTGAGGGCTGAATCGCTGATCCCCAAACTGAAAACACATCTTTGAAAATTCCAAAGACTCAGCTTCAAGGCCTCCAGGGGCACTGCCACCATTTCTAATGAATTGTGTGGGTCTTTTTAGAGCATCTCCAACTGTGGCAAGCAAAGGGTGACATTTATTGCATACTTTCAACTCCTGCCCCCCTCCCCTCCTTTGGTGTTTAGCCAGTGGAACCCTCTACCCTGGACTCCAACTGGGGGAGACTGGTTTAAGAATGACCTTAATTAGGGAAGTAAAGGTTACTTTGGGGCACTTAAACTGCGCTAAGAGAAAATTATTTCTTTCCCACTCTAAGTGGTGGCTCGATATATGTATGGTTAATGATAACAATAGAAGTGTTCGTCTCTGTATTGGACAGGCTCATAAGCAAGTTGCCATAATATCGTAGGAAGACATTTACAGAGGAGGGAACATTATGCCACAGCCTGGAGTGTTTAATGTGAACTTCTGAACTTGGCTTCACTGGGTGGGTGGTGCAAGATACACACACACACATACACTTCTAGGCACAGAAGTGGGAGTGAGAGATTTAGAGATGAGAAAGAATGTAGAAGCATATATAACTAGTTTAAAAGTCTATCATGTGCTTTGTCGTTACAGATGATAGAATATTTTCCAGAGAGCCTTTGTCTTGCATAAAGGTTGGGCTCGTGGTAAGATGGGAGGCAAATGTTCCGTGTGGCAGGCTCTTGGAGGGAGTCTGGTCGTAATCCCAAAGGAGGGTTTGCTTAGGGAACCAAGGGCATTAGGGACGTGATCTTGTGGTGAGTTTGGCTTTGACCCTTGGCTGTTCTTTCCTGCTACCACAGAAATGTGCAGTGGATGTCCTGTGCTGACATTCTCCTGGAGGTGTCTTGGACAGCTGAATCCTTTAGTTAATTGAGACCACTGCATTTTTCCATGAGTGGCTGGCAGAGTCCCAGAGAAGTGGAGCCCTGATATACTGAACAGAGTGGTATCTTTAAACAATTTTCTAAAAGCTGTTATTTTGAAATCATTATAGACTCAGGATGTGTACTAGTGCAAAAATAGTACCATGAAGTCCTGCATACCTCCTCCCAGCTTCCCCCAGTGATAACGTCTTTCAGAACTATTGTTCAGGATTTCTCCACCATGGCAGTATTGACGTTTTGGACCAACTGTGTATGTGTGCTGGGTGGGAGGCTGTGCTGTTCGCTGCCGGAGGCTGAGCAGCATTCCTGGCCTTGACCCACTAGATGCCAGAAGTACATGTCATGACAACCAAAAATGTCACTAGACATTGCCAGATACCCTCAGTGGGTTGAGAATCACTGTTCTATGCAGCATCAAAACAGGAAAATGACAGTGGGACAGTACTGATGACTAGATTACATACTCCACATTTCACCAGTTTTTACATGCACTTCTGTGTGTGCAGTTCTCTGCAGTTTTATCACATGTACAGATTCGTGGACCCACCATCACTGTCAGGATATAGAACCATGGAATCCTTGTCTGAGGCAGAGTGAGGCTAAGCATTGTACAATTTCTGAGATCCTCTTGGTGAACATCAGTTAATCCCAGAGTTTTAGAACTTGAAGGAAACCAAGTAGCCCTCATGTACAAATTGTTCACTGTAAGATTCCGACAGTGGGCTGCCCGTTCCGCTCATACACTTCCACTGATGGGCTCTTACCACCTCATGCACTTATTGGATGAATGGTACTGATGGCTAGAATGTTTTTTCTGTAGGGACCCAGCTACCTACTTCTCTGTAATTCCATTTATTTAGCTCCTTCTAGCTAAGTGCGGTAGTTTCTAGAGCCTGGCTATTGGAATGCTATGGGATCCAGACAGTCTCAGATCCCAGTTTCCATTTCCCACATCCCATCCGTAGTCCTGGTCCATAGTCCTGAGCCTGTGGAATTTGCAGAGTGGGCAGCGAGCCACGTTTGTACGTCTGTGCCCAGAACCAGCGAGTTTGCATTTTGTACTGTGTTGGGCCCCAGCCACCGAGGGGGATAACCAAAGACGTTATTTGAGCATATTTGGTTGTAAACAAAGCCCCTTCTGTTGTGCACTGCAAGCCAGTTCTGGAGAGAACTTCACTTTTGAGCTTTGCTTCATCTCTCTTCAGAGAGCCTTGCTGTGTATGGCCTTCAAATGGAAACATCTCCTGGGCAAAGCTCTAGTGTGCGGATTAGGAGAATGTGTTTGTAAATACTTCACTATGTGTTTTAAAAGCAATCGCAAGGCTATAAGCACAGCTAAACAATTAATAAAAAGACTCTATATCATGGTGTTATATGCTCACTGGAAAAGTTAAATCCAGTGTTTGTCCAGAGAAACTCCTTACAAAATTCCAAGGAAAAGGATGTTTTACAGAAAAGGTCGCTTCATGTACTTCAGCAAGCAGCTTTCTAAGACGCCACCCCTCCTTCAACTATTCATGCTGGCAGAACCTCCCCACTGCCTGTGCCCATGGTTCCAGAAACTGGGGTTTGTGCCTGGATAATGCAAGGGAGACACTTCCATGTTTGGGGAAGCTGGACTGGATGCTGTGGTTCTTAAAAATAGCCATTGTGTTTCCCGTGTGCCTCAGGCGTCCATGGCTGTCAGGTGTCGTGGTGGATGGTGCCTTCAGGGCTGTGACAAGGGCATTCTGGGCCTTGGAGGCTGGTGTTCTGGGGTGGGGGTCTCCTCTGGATTTCCTCAGGAGGGCCACAGCACCTTTAATCTCAGGCTTGGTGTCTCCAGCCATGGCTCTGCCCTCTGTGGCCTTTTGAGGTCCCCATCACCATGGTTTGCTCTGGGATCATGAAGCCCACAAAGTTAGGGTGTCTTTGCTGAGTTCTGGGGGAAAGGCTGGTGTCCGTATCTGGCTGGCATCCAGTTTGCTGCTCATCTGGGCATCATAGGATGGTCAGAGTGGCATAAAACCCCTTCAAAATGTTAATTTATGACTCTAATGTCATAGATATTTATGGAATATTGAATCACACAAAGTGGGTATAAGTATTTGGTAAAGTGTGTTCGGGATTCAGACAGAGCTCTGCCGTCCATGGGCTCGTGTGACTTCTCCAGGTCTCAGATTCCTCAGTGGGATGGGGTGAGTACTAAGCTGTGCTTTCTGAGGTGGGATCCTCCATGGGCCAATGTGCAGCCCCCCAGCCTTCAGAGGGGCAGAATAGAGCCAGCCTCTAGCTGGCTCCCCAGGGGCCCCAGGCAGGTGGAGTCCCACTGGGCCCAGTGGGTCTGAGTTATCTGCATTTCCTCCCCATGCCTCTCCCCTTTCACTTCCTCTCTTGAACTTCCTGAAACCACCTCCCAGACACACTTCTGCACACCGGCCGCTCTGGTGGTGGCTCTTTAAAGGCAAAGGGCTTCTTATTTGGTTGCAAGTCAGGAAGGTGGCTGCTGCTGCTGCTTAGAGGCTGGGGCTGTCTGTCTGTCATGCCCTAGGGGCCCTGAGGGAGACCAGATCTGCACCAGACGCTGGCCTGGAGGAGCAGAGGATGACCAACGAATTTCCCAGGAGAGACCCAGCTGACGGGGAGGGGAGGGCTTTTGACTGGTTGGTTGGGTGGCTGAGTTTGGTCCAGCCTGGGTAAAAAGGACTGAGAAAATTGCACTGGTGCCTCCATCTCCAACCCAGACCAGTGAGGTCACTGATTAACGGGACACAAATGCCTCATTCAGCCCCTCAGTCGGCCTTTGGGGACTCACCTGGTGGCCTGGTTCCTGTTTCCTCCAGGAGCTTGACTGTCCCAGGATTGGATGAGCACAGGTGGCTCCGTCCCCACACCTTGGCCCTCTTCCTGCATTTAGCCGTGTATCTAACCACTTTCCTTCAGGCTTTTCACGTTCACCTGCCAAGTCCTCCCAGCTCTCATGTGAGGCTTCTCTGCAGCTGCGTGCGTGTCCTGGTGTTTGGGGAAGCTGTGACAGTCGTCTGCATTTCTGGGGGGCTCCTGAGAACCTGCTGTGCGTTTGGGGCAGGCTATTCTTCCCAAGCTGGATCCTGAGTGAGAGGCAGGAGAGGAGCTTAGGGCCCCAGGCTGAGTCCTGCATAAGAGGGGCGCAGATGCTGCCGACCTGGAATTTCCTGGGGCGAAAGCAAATATGCAGCAAAGAAAATATGTTTGATTTCTGTAGGGTGGCTGCTGGGAGCTCCTTGTGCAGAGAAGGGAGAGATGTTTCCTATCAACCACAAGCAGTATGTTCATCACCACAGACCAGAATAGCACGTGTGGCCCACTTTGGCACCTCAGTTTGGTACTTTTAAGGAATTCAGTCTTGTCATGCAGCCCAGATGGAGTTGTTGACTAGATTCTGACTCTTTCTCTGTACACTATTTCCACATTGCTTGCTTCTCTCATCAGGACGGACCATATGTTGCCTTCTTGCTTTAAGGGAGGAGAGGACTGGGAAGCCTACACGGGGCGGGGTTGGGGAGGTGGCTCTGCACCCTCCTGGCTCTGCCGGCAACCGGCAACCTTGACTGGGTCTCCTCCCCTCTCAGCCTCAGTGTTCCTGTCTGTAAATCCTGTTCAGAGGAAGCATCCTGCCCTCAGGTGCTGCTTGCCAAGATCGAATGCTAGAATCTGTGTGAAAATGCCTTTCAGATTGTGAATCATGCACCACATGTTAGCTGTTACTCTGCCAGCAGCTGGAACAGTGCTTGGTGATAATGTCATTAATGAGGGAAAGACGGGAGGTGTCTTTCATTCGGTGGTGGTGGTCCCTGCAGGTCAGCCATTGCAGGCAGACTGTTTCTCCGCCATCACGTCCATTGGTACCGCGTCTCCCAGTCTGCTTGTCACAGAGAGGTGAGGTGGGCCACCTGAGGACACACTGTGGGCAGTGCAGCAGCAGATCTGGCTGCCTTGGGCTGCAACCTGATCCCTAGGCCCGTCTGGAACTGCGTCTTCCCAGAGAAGGGGGCAGGGCCTCTGCTTCTCTGTCCCTCCCCTCAGGGCATCTGCTCCCCACCTGTGGGTCCATCCCTGTGAGGAATCAAACCCTCAAGGGTGGTAGCATGTCTGCCCACAGGGCCTTTTACTCGATTCCCAGAGCTGTGTTGGGACGTCTTCATGAAGAGCATGGATCTGGCACACGGCAGGTGAGGCTAAGGGTGTCAGTGGCCAGGCTGTGTGACTCTCACTTCTGTGTTGTCCACAGAGGCCCCAGAGAGGTGTCCCGGCAGAGAGAAGGCTTACAGCAGATGGCTGACTGCCGGGGAGTGTTGGGATAGAACATTCTTTTCCAGAACTTTGACTTTTTCCTCACATATTTCATGAAACTTTTCTTCTCTTTAACATCTTATCTTTCTGCCAAATCAGACTCAAAGTTATGGCACTGGTTTTTCCAAACAATCAAGGTCCTTACAGACCATCAGTGAGACTCCTTGGAAGAGGCCATTTTTGGAGGTCATCAGCCAAGACATTCCGACCCATAGAAATGGGGCAAATGCCAAGGTAACGTCATGCTGATGTCACCTGCACCCAGGTCCTCGGAATCAGCCTTCTGAGCATTTTGGTTTATTGATTTTTTTGACCTGAGGGGACCCTTAATTTTGTGATTTTTCAGCTTGCATGAAAAATGACAGACACTCTCATGAGGTATTATCCAAGAATATGACCAAGTCCAAAGGATTACCCATGGCTGGACCCAATGTGCCCTTTAAATTTTTTGAAAATTTAAATTTTCTTTGTTAAGAACCTTTTTATTTTGTGTGTGTGACTGTAGAACAGTCTGAAATGATTCATTAATTGGCACGATCCACTAGATGTTTTGGTATTTCAACTTGCTTTTAGAAGTCCAAGCCAAGTATCTTTGTCCACAGACCTGCCTCTCGTCTTGTGTTTGTTTGGTCCTTCACCCACTCAGTAAGTAGTTCACTCTCTCGCTCATTCAGTCATCCACCTATTACATACCAGACTCTGCAGACAAAGCAGTAAGTAAAACCAGATGTGGTCCCTTCCTCATCAACAGACCAACCTGTGTTAATGTGCTGATTCTACACAGCCTGGGTGTATGGACCTGTGGTGGGCGCACACACCTGGTGCCCTGCCCAGGCCCTCTTTCCTGGCAGGTACACCCATTCCCCCAGCTGCTGGGGTCTTGGCTGTGATGGCTCACAGCTGATTTCTTCTCCAGAGCATTGCCTGTGGAAACCTATATCCTCCACTTCCCACTTTGTCAGTCTGTAGCCAGAGGCTAAGCAGCAGTAGAAAAGACAGCCCCATGTCTCCAGTTGGGGACAATAGTGTGTGTAATTCCTGCTCCAGAGGTCCCCATGGGATCAGGCTGATTCAGACTTGGGCTGAGAATACAGCCTTCCTCCTCCCCTTTCCCCTTAGAGCTCTCCCTCAGTATACCACATGCGTCTGAACCCCTGCATCAGGCTCTGCTTGGAGACAACTCAACTTGAGAGAGGTGCTGTCAGAGCCCATCAAAGGAGGCATTGATTTAGGTGAGGAGTTTGGGAATGCCAGTTCAAGGACGGGATACCAGAGCTGAGATTTACAAGATCAGCAGGAATTAATTAGATGGAGATGAATGGAAGGGCTCTCCAGGAGGAGGAAAAGCACATGCCAAGTTCTGGTGGGGAGGAAACATGAACTGAAGGCTGAAAAGAGGCCAATGTTTCTGGAACAGAGAGAGCAGGAGCATGGTGTGAGAGGAAGCTGGAGGGGCCAGCAGGCCTTGAGCAGGCAGGCTTCGTAGGCTCTGATAAGGAGTCTCTCCAATTGGTGGGAACCCCCCAGGCAGTCAGCCAGGCCCTAGGAGAGAGTGGGTAGAAGAAGCCTAGCCTGGTGGACAGTGGCAGCTTTGGGCTCAGAAATCTGGAGTTCCAGTTATGTTCTATCAATTAGGCAACCTGTGACTCTGGGTCCCAGTGAGGGTCAAAGGTATGACTACAGGGTGTTTTGCAGTCTTAGAATAGTGTCAACCTGCAGGTGTACGTTGACTTCATTTCCCTGGGTGTTCACAATGATGTGCTTCCTTTCCTTTAGGCGCCAGCACCTCAGATGCCAAGGTGCCATCACTGGGGTTGGGCAGGGGGCTAGAGAGGCTGCTTTGCAGAGGACCGTTGTGTCCTCATCATCCTGGGACAACTCTTATATGTGGATGTAAAGGCATTTCTCTTGTTCTTTCTAGGTAAAAACAGCAACAGAAAAGGGGTGAGAACCAAGAGCTCTGAGAAGGCTGCCAACGATGATCACAGCGTTCCCGTGGCCCATGACGGCATCAGAGAGGGTGAGTGAGGCCCTCAGGGCACCTCCTGCCCGCATCTGTCAGCGGTCCAGGGAGGGCGTAGGCCCCTGGCACAGCAGCCAGCTACAGATTTCTAGGCCTGCAGCCTCTCCAACCTCCGTTTGGGGTAAAAGCCTTCACGGCCGCCCTCCTTCTGCAGTGCACAGTAACTCACAGCCAGCTTTTCCCCATCAGCTGACTAAAGTCATTTCTCAATTTCCCGGAGCTCTTAGTTGCCTTCCCAGCCCTTCCCCCTTCCTCCCTGAAAAAAGTATCATTTTCTGTCTTGTGGGGCCTCATAGCTGCCCATAACCTTCAGTGTGCATTTCTTATCTCCTAACTGGCCCCAGGGGCCCCTGGGGTCAGAGAGCAAGTCCTCTCCTTACAGAGCTGATGTGGTAGGTGACATGTGGTGCTAGTCTTGGTGTCTCAGTCATGGAAATCTATTGGTCCTTCAGTTACTTAACCTTAGGATGGTCAAAACCATTAGTCCTAGACTCATGGGCAAACTCTGGCCCACTAGTGATGGCTGTTACCATTATTTACCATTGCCATTACTATTATTGGATCCTGTCTTTCTCTAAACTATGGTATCCGCAACCACACTTCTGCTAATATTAATAATGGTAACCATTTATTAAGTTAAGCCCCCAGTGGTTACCAGCACAGGGGCTCATATTTGACATCTCCTGATGCCCCTGAGTATTGTGGATATTGTTAGTATCTGCATTGTCCATGTTTTTCAGATGAGGAAAATGAGACTTGGTAATATGAGTCCTTTGCCTATGGTTATGCAGCTTGTAAGTGGCAAACTGGGGATTCAGACCCAAGATTTTTTAATTCTAGACTTTCTGCTTGGCAGTACAGCTGCTTAAAATAAAGAGAGCATTTCATAAGTTTGCATTTACAGAGGCAGGATGCATTGTCAGCTGCCATGTGAGCCCACAAACCATGTAACAGGGTTGATTGTCACAAAGGGAGTTGCATGTTCCCTTAGGCACAATATAATGATCTGGGGCTGTTTCTAAGCAAGAATTTGCCATCAAAGAAATCACAGATATGACTAACAGTGCATCCTAGAATAAAAACAGAAATTAAATGACAGTGAACTTTTGCAATCACTTAACAAATGAGAATTATATTCCATTTTAAAGTGGGTGGGCGTGTATACTGCCCCCTGCCACTGGGAGGACCCCGCCTATCAGGAAGGTGGGTTGAAAACACACGCGATGCTGGTTTACCCCCGGCAGTGTGGTCCTTTAGAGTTTTAATTAAATGGATGGAAATAAGGATCCTATCCTGGGTGGGCCTTTTGCCCCCTTGTCCCAGCAGGCTGATAAAACACCAGCTGTTCCTTCAGGGTCACGAATGTCACAGGGCCAGAGTGGCGCCGTGCCGGCCTCTCCTCCCTTGGTTCTTCCTGCCATCAGATCTGGGCCGGGGAGTTCTTGACTATCTTTTGAGTGCTTTTAATACAGTATTTTGTCCAGGTTTTTTAGTAGCTGAAGCACAGCATTGGTTTGAGCAATCTTAATACTTTGTAATCAGAATTGGAATTTATTAAAATCTTGAGAGGCATTTTCAGAAAGATTTCTCAAGGGCCCATTACTCTACACGCATATACGAACACACACACACACATACACACACACACGCCTGAACTTTGCTCCTTCTGCCACGGTATATACCGCACCCAAAGCTGGCCATCTCAGGATTGTGCACCTTGGCCTCAGAGCTCTGTCTGAACAGCTTTGGATTCTGGGTCTCAAAGGCAGCCAGTACAGCTCTGATTCACTGAGTGCCCTTGAAGTTATCTTGGTTATGAAACTTTCTTACATTATTTTTCTATTAACACCGAGGAACTGAGGACAAGCCTGAGAGGAAGAGAAGCCATAGAGGTTCCTGATGTGCAAATGTAGAAGCAAGAGGGACGTGATGGCCGTGGAGGTGGTGTGAATGGGGACAGATGGCAGAGCAGTTAGGAACACAGGCCTGGGGTCGGGTGGGGGCACCTGTGGGTGGTGCTGGGCAAAATGGGGCTGCAGATGTGCATCTGGGCACTCTCAGGACCCTCCGTTTCTCTCCTCTCAGCATCTCCTCAGGGACCTAGGGGGCCTTGCTGGAGAGACGACAGAATGAAGATGTCACCTACATCGTGTGTAAGACGGCAGGTGGGACAGATGTTACCTGTATCATGTCTAAGGTGGAGCATGTGTTACCTGCTTGGTGTTCAAGGTGGTGGGTAGTATAGATATTACCCACATGCAGTTATGTGAATGGATGCCATCAAAGGGCTTGTGTCAGATGTGGAACCCGCTTTTTGAGGGAGAGAATCTGCCTACGGTGCCCCTGTGGCCGAGGAGCAGCTGTGGCAGGAATCCAGCATGCATCTTGGGCATTGTTCTATAATAGTATATGCAACTGGCTGGTTCTTCACCTCCCCTTACGTCTGCACCTTTGCCACGTGACTTTGCAGTTCCCATCACAAAAGATGAGAGCCCCTTGACTTTGGGCTAGTCCATGTGCCTTGTTGAAACCATGAAATGAGTCAGTAGAATAAGGTGGAGCGACAAGGCGCCAGTTCTGAGTCGAGGACTTAAGAAGCTTTGCTTGTTTTCATTTCCTTCTTGTGCCTCTGCCATCTTCATGAGAAGAGTGCGTGTGCCTGATCCAAGGAGGCTGAGAGACGAGTGGAGCAGACATGGGCCCAACCTGCAGCCTGAAGCCGCCAGCTGAGCCCACCTGATCTGTAGTCACCTAGGAAATGAATGTTTTTTGTGTGCTGCTATGAATGTGTGGCCATTTGTTACACAGTCTTAGTAATAGCTGACTAATACGAGGAAGATAAAGAATAGCTTCATTTTTTAAAAGGTTGCATGGCATTCTATTACAGGCATGTTCTAGTTTATTAAATCATTTAATGATGGATGTTTAGGTTCCAATATTTTGCTACTATAAACAGTGTTACCATTTGCCCATACCATTTACTAAGCATTGGTTGTAGTATAATTCCCTACTTTGCATTTAGAACCCACTATGATATGACTGATTTCTGGCCTCCGCCTCCCTTTTTTTCTAGCCAGATGGGGCTTGATTCTCATGCATGTCCCATGCTGAAAACATGGTTCATGGTTTCCTCTGTAGAGAGCTGGGCAAGCATCTAAGTTGGTGATCAAGAGGACAGTTAGGGTCCGGCTCTTCCCTCAATGACTGTACACCACTGTGCAAGTTACTAATGTCTCTATGACTCCGTATCTTCCTCTGTAAGATGGGGGTAGTATCCCTTTACAGGGTTATCGTGAAGTTTAAATAATGTCTGCAGAGGACAGCACACACAGTACACAGGATGCTCTCAACAGGCAGCATTTGTGATTTTTATTTGCTATCTTGGGATTTTTTTGTGCCTTAGTTACAGGAGTTGGCAGACATGTTTAAAGTGTCAGGTTGTAAATATCATATGCTTTATTGGCCAAGAAGCAAATCAGGGATATTACGTAGGCACTTAAAAAACCATTTAAAATGTACCTATTAAAAAATATGAAAACCATCCTTCTCTCATGGGCCATATAAACACAGAGGGTCAGCTGCATTTGTCTCTCACTGGGCTGTAGCTTGCCAGCCCTGCCTTAGAACTTCAGGGTTCTGCAAGACTCCCTCTAGGCATCCTGCCCTGAGCACCACTCTTCTGCTTTCCTGTAGCTCTTCCTCTGGTCTTCCTCTGGGTTCCCTCCTCTCCCGTCACAGTGACACCTAAGCTTGGTTCTTCTGCTCTGGTGGCCATGGATGCTGAAGGACAGGCCCCGTCCTCTTCCTCTCCAGGTGCACCCAGTGCTGGTAGCACTTGACAAGAATGGCAAACTCATCTACTGAGCACCTGCACCGGGCTGGAACTTGTGTTCTGGGGTGTGGAACAGGTGTTCATGTGTGTGCCAGGACAGAGCGCTGCCACCCCAAAGAACATGGTCCTCGATCTGCAGGAAAGAAGCATGTTTTCCTGCCATTGTGGAAATTGGATAGTTTTCTCAAAGCAATGCCTGCTAGTGAGTGGGAGTCCCTCAGTGCTTCTCCTTCATGCTGGGCCTGGAGAGATTGGAGGCCACCTTCAGGTATCATGTTGGGGATTGACCTACTCGGTGTGTGTATGTGTCTCAAACTTGAGGGCATGTCATTGTATCACCACAGACCGTTTGGTTTTTCATCGAAGCCCTTGTGTGAATGTTTCTCCATTGTTGCCAGATGGCTCTCTGGGGCTCAGCTCTGGTCTTCCCCCAGATGTCTGGCACACCTATCGAGGGCAGGGGAGTGAATCCCAGCTCCTGGGCCTGAAGGAGGAGTGGCTGACATAGTCCTGGCTTCCCTGACAGGTGCTGTGATAAATGGCCACATCTGTATCTCAGGCTCCCTTGAAGTGAGAAGGGGAGGCAGGGGCCAGAATCAGAACAGTCACACCCCTCTTGGACAAACCTTGGCTAGGAAGGCTGAGAAACATGGTCTGGAAAAGCAAGGCCTCTTTTTTCCTTACTCCGCTTCTGACTCCATCTCAGCATGCCTACAGAGTCACTCTTCATTCTCCAAGATGAAACACGTACCTTGAAAAACTTTTCTAGCAGCCCCTTACAATTTGGAGAGATTTACTTTGTTCTAACAATGGTTTTGTGTCAGGGTCTTAACTGGGTTTAATTAGGGGTCCTGGGCTCCCTGCTGCCCCCAGTACAATATAAACTGACTGTTCTTAATGCCTTGTGGGGAGTGTCACTGGCCAGGATCACAGGTTTCAGAAGCCTTGGTCTGAAATGGTAGCCATCATGGTCTTGCCAGCATAGCAGTGCGTCCCAGACAAGGGGTCAGGGGGCAGAGCTCTGAGGTACTCAGTAGCACCCATGGGTAGCTCTAAAAGGCTCCATTCATTTCGGTCGCCCAGTTGACCCCAAGTGTGGGTCTGGTTGAGGTCACATGGGTCCATCTTGGAGGAGGGATTCCAGTGCTGCAGCTCCTTTGAGGCC